TTCGTTTTAAGTCATAGCAAGTAAATAATAAATGTACATAGTATGTACCTACTTATCTCAAGTATAACATATTAATACGAAATTGAAGAAAAAAAAATTTACAAAATACATCTGTTCAAATCTATTACATATTATATATGTGTATACTGTATATTTATATAATATGAATATTACGTACAGTCGCTTGACCGCCAAAATTATTATTATTATATATTTGATACCAATGTATCTTCATACTTATTAATTATTAAATATTTGTTTGAAACATCTAATATATAATAATCAAAATGAATAAATAATTAATGTGTCTAATTTATGAAAAATGTATTTATCGAAAACGAAATTGAATTAGAAGGTCGATTTTGAAGATAAGCGTTTATTTAAAGATCCGTTCCGTTTCGCTGTATGGATATATATTTTTTTCATGTTTTTTAAAAATAATGTAGTTATATACTTTCGGTGGGTAAGAGCAGTTTTTTCTCAACTTTTGTATTATGACGACACACTATTAAACTATTAAAGTATTTCATACTTTATAAAACACAATAAAAAATAAGGATAAAGAGTAATTTTTAATTTTGATTGGGAATACAAAATATGTTAAATATGTCGATAACAGATATCCTTTTTTAATCACCAAAGAAATTATACCAAATACCTATTGGTTTTTGTTATTACGAGTAATTATGTCATAGTGTTTGTATTTTTTTTTGATTCATTTGGACATATTCAGTGACTCATAGGTTGACAAACACTAGTATAGAGTATATACTATAGCTAATATGTATAGACAATATTTGATGTTATATTGAGATTGAAAAAATAGCAATATTGATGTTTTCATTAGCTGGTTCCATAAATATAGAATATGAAATATATAAAAAAAAAGGTATACTGGTTACATTGGTTAAATATTTATGCACTCGAGTTAAACCTATTTCATCAATATGAAATATTAAATAAGTGTTGCAATATTTCAACAAAAATATTATGGTTTTATTTAACTATTTGTTGTAAACTGTTTTTAGTTTCTGTTATTTTCAAATCAAATTCCCCGAGTATGTAAATAACAATGGTTTAATGAGAGGAATTGTTATAGTAATTTAATTGCTTTAATATATATTATTGTATTTTTATTAGTTCGAATTTAGAATAGATATAATTCTTGTGTCATTTTCATAAGTATAACTTAAAAAGTTGAAAAAGTAATAGCTATCAATTATAAATCAATAATATTAATAAATATGCAGTTTAATTTATCATTTTATAAAATATTATTGTTAACTGATTAAATCACTTTAAAATAAAGTTCTATCTTTATTTTTACACACATTTTATTTTTTTTATAAATATACATACAATTATATGTCTATATAGGAACTATATTAAATTTTACTAATTATTAGGTTTGCAATACAATAGAGCGCATATCATTCGTTCATTATAACTTATAAGCATAATATGTTTGCTACATTCATAAATTATTTAATTTATTATCATTATTAAACTGTCATAGGGCTCATAATTTATTGTCTATATAACATGTGTAGATTTATTTATTATGTTTTAAATATAATTATGATATATTATGGTTTTAATAGGTATACCTACGAAGAGTATACGTTTCAGGGAAATGCGAAATACCTTTGGATGTGATTCTGGAAGTTGATTTATAGAACATCACGATAATCAAGTTTGACATAAAAAAAAAAAAAATAATAATAAACCTTACGACTCAATCTAAATAATCTAAAAAAAAAAAAAACCAATGGTCTATAAAGCCAAAGTTTGATTTTTGATCAATAATAAAAAGTATAGGTACATTTCAACGCGTGTAAATGAATTTTGACAAAGAAACGACAAAAATAAATTATTTTATTATAACACTATCCAATTATCTTAAGGATAAAATAACATTAATTTAAATAATTTTTTTATGAATCCAGAATGTTATTTTAGGATAAAATATTCATGAACGCTTAAGTTTTCATTTCTTTTCATTCAGCCAATAAATTGTAATAATTGCTTTTTGGACGGCTTATAAAACACAACACGCTAAAAAAATAAATATATTACCTACAAAGATCATAAGTACATTTTGCTAAAGTTTTTAAAGGAGAATTATGTTTTATGATGCACGTGAGGGCCAATATGGATCAAGAACGACACTCTTAAATGTTTCGATCTTATAAACTTGATAATTCCTCACTGTTATAATTTTACAATTACAAAAAAAATATTTTGTTTTAATTATATTACGAGTACATCTATTATACGACACATATATAGTGAGTACTCTTAATGTGCACATTTTATAATATAATAGAAATTATTATTAATATCCGTGATAATTTATTTATACTTTAGTGGATCATATAAATTAAAACTTCATCTCTAGTAATAATGATCGGTCTAGAGCTTAGGCAGGTCTAGATTGTATACTATTTTAGTCTCTAAAAATGGTAAATTAACCAGGTAGTATATATATATATAATATTTGTCCAGCTGATGGTACTTATACAAGTTGGCTTAGCATAAAATATTAAAAATGATTAATTTCTCTTATTTATTGAATGGTTGATAATCGTATGTTATGGCAGCGTAATAAATATTTCTTTTAAATTTCAACCTGCTGTAGAACAACATTGTATAACATTTTAATTACAATTATTATTATTTACATTTAAAATTAGTTAATGGCTATTTTTTTTTAAATAGTATATGATTATTATTAATTAAAATAATTTTTTTATTTTAGTTAATTATTTTTTGTACATCATGGCAATTATTTTTGAAATGTCTTCTTTTTAAACTAATTTTTAGGTTTAACTTCCTGCAACCTCTCCTCATCACACACATAATATTTATAAAAGATTACAAAAATGTATTGAATGTAAATTAAAAATGCTCTTGCTTGTAACTCACAATATTTCATTAAGTTATACGCTTATACAATAACATCTTGTAGATACGTTTCATTGTACTTATATTTTAATTAATAACCCTAGAAATATTTTATGTATTTATAGAATCTAACACGAATATTAGTCATCGTTTACGAGTTTACTACCTAAATAATTTTCTCAAGAAAATAATTACAAAAACAAAGTTAACAGAAATCTAATTATCGTAATCGAATGTCGCTGACTAATTAAATAGGGCGATTGCAAAGTGTTAACAATAGTTTTCGAGACGTATTTTTTGTCACATGATAATATTACAATACATAATAATCATAATGTTATAATATATAGTTTGTCTTTTCGACAAATCAATTACTATAATTGTTTACCCGCAAGGAGACGTGTATTCAAATTAAATTGTATAATTGAGAGTACAATATGAAACATTTAATCCTATCAGCGTAAAATATGATATTAATTAATATGTTTACGTATATAGAGCATTTTCTTAAAGCATAAACAAATAAAATAAAATAAAAATAAATTTCAAAAATGATTAATTTTCATTTATGCATGCTATTTTAATCACATATAAAAACTTAAATAAACTATGATCTCAAAAATATTATACTGTATATATAGATATCAAATTTTAAAAATTGCTATTATTCCAAGATATTATTTTTAAGATATTTTTTTTTTAATAAAAATGTATTTACAAATTGTAATATAATAACCTATAGATTTACGATAAAATAAGATGAATGAATAAATTGTATATTTTATTATTTTATAACAACAATTTATTGGTGAAAATTATCTGACCTATGTATGATAAAATAAGGGTCGTGTGATCTACATCACAGCTAAAATATGTACTTGAATTTATTGATAAATGAGATTCAAACTGTAAATAAGTAAATAAATTATACACTGATTGGTTAAAAAGTGGCATAATTTGGCACATTAGTGTCGATTAGACATGCCGTATGACTTTGTAACTAATATAATTTTGGTCGTTATTGTTCAGGTGACCTTCACTATGACGAAGAGACGACAAAAAAATTCACGTATACGCAATGTATTTCAATTATTATAAGTATTATATTTAAAATGAAGGTGTATAAGATTGGCCGCGTAGACGGGACATCCCGCGAAATTGTGTTACACCACCTGTAGTAACTCAGCACGGTATTACTATTAGGTATAGAAGTTTTTGTAAACGCTCATAAATATATAAGAAGCTATTATAGACCAATTTCATTCGCGTTAATCATACGACACTAAACGTTTACAGACAATTTTCCACTCCCGTAATAATATATTTACGATAATAATATTGAACCTATTGTAGAATAATATAATGAACTATAATATAATATATAATAGCAGGATGTTATAAGGAAAAAAAAATTCGGAAATATTTTCAGCGATATATTAAAAATTGAATATTTTTCCCAAAAAATCCGTACTTACGTATGTAGTCTATCGCATAAAGGAGTATAATTTCGACCGGACGATGTTTCGATCGGGGCGTCATTTTGAGGGGTGGAGAGAGAAGCACCAGACTTTACTTTGGTACTCCCATTTTTTTTCTGCGTCTTATTGACTTACTATAAAATGTATAAATGCGTCAATGGCCGATATTATTAATATAGATGTATATTATTGGCGTGCACGACAAAAGCTATTTGCAACTTGCAGCTTACTAATTTTTAAACACATTAGAGTATTTAATACATACATGAGTATGTAACCTTTTAGCCCAGTATCTACGCGAAGTACGTATTGTATTTAGTATTACAGAGACAAAGTGTCCAGGCAGTGAAAACAAATTGGCGTGTTTGTACTTCGGGAAGAACCAAAAAAAAAAAATCAAATGATACCACAGCGTTTCATTCATTTTGTATAAATCGCGGCTGCTACAAAGTATATTTTCAGTGTAATATTATCTTCATTATTCTGGCAACGTACGCACCCACGACGTCAAAACGCTAACAGGTTGCGCGGCAAAAAAAAAATTCATATAACAGTGCTCAGGAGTGTTGTCAGGGGGCGTATTTTACGGGACCGTATACGACGCGGTTTGACGCGTTTTTCCGGTACATATTGCGCTGCGTCTTTGTCGACAGCGTCATTCTGCTTGGTCATCCCGTCCGTCGCACCCACGTGAGAAACGCGCACCCGAGCCTCAAGTCCAACCGGTAAGTCATATACAATAAGTATAATATACAAGTATATTATATTGTATATTTTGGGGTGTCTCTTGCAATAATTATTCATATCCATGTATTAAATAGGTGATTTTTTTCCACCGATTTTCTTGAATCGTTGTTACAAATATACACATCTAATATTATAAAAAAATAAATGTAAAATAATTTCCTGTCGTAAAAACTAAAATAACCACTGAATAAATTCGATAAAAATAAAAATTTTACGCAATTTTTTGAGTAATTCAATGATGTATAATTAAGTACATTTTACCTAGCATAAATTGGTATCTCTAAAATCATTATGTATTTCTAATTTTCAATTGATGATTGTTAATTTTAAATAGATAAACAGGACCTCTCGCTTATAGTATTATATACGAGACGTAAAATACGAAAAAATTATTTCAAATATTAGAAACAGACCGTACTAAGATCGAAAATGTTCGTGGATTTGTGTATTTTTAGAGTCAACTAAATTTTTTGTTTGGTGCTAAAATTGTGTTATTAATAATTATTTTACTTGTATATCCATCCGGTGTCACTGCGATAAATTCAAAACCAATTGGCAATTGATTTCTAGTTATAACAATAAAATTATAGGTCAATATTTTGTGAAGTTAATAAAATATTCAAATTTTAATCAATGTGTAAATCGTTTATTTTTATACCTAAATATTATATATTTTTTCTGTGTAGTTTAATCTTTATTTTGAGAGAAATCATTGTGCCCAGTAAGTATAAAAAAATTTTTTTTCTCTTTTTTTGTTCTCATAACTTCACAAAAAGAAAAATGAACTTTTAATTGACAAGCAGATTTTTTGTACAATGTAATATATTATAATGTAGAGTTATTATGTATTTTCATTGTTTGGAGGGTCTTGTGTGGATAAGAAACTATAATTTCCATTTTTGAAGTTGAGGGATAATTTGAACAGTCATATTATATAATGTGTTTAAAGATTAAACTAAATTTAAAGGGATTTTAATGTAAGAAATTGTAGTTGTAAATCCCAGTAATATCACATGTTTATTAATTATATTGTTTTTTTCCACAGCTGAGTTTTATACATATTTTTTTATAATTGTTAATTTATTAATCTATATTTAATTTTAAACTTTTTTAATAATTCAAATAAATTTAGGTAAATATTTAACGATTACAGAAAATTTGACACAAAGAAATGTTTTACTATAATTTAAATTGTAAACTTACAAAAAAATAGTTGAGACATTTTTTTTATTTTTAAATTGCAGTGCAAGAATAATTGTTTATCACTTTAAAATTAACGGAAAATTTATGAAAAAAAAAAAAAATTTAAAAATAATAAAATTAGTGTAGAAAATAAATTTAGAGAAATAATAAATAAATTAAAAATAAATCAAATTTTTAACTGTAAAATTATGTTAATTATTCGATCGTATTTTTTTTATTTTTTTTTATACCTTAGTATTAAATTAATTGTTTTTTTTTTTTTTTTATTAATAAACAGTATTTCACAGAATATTTTATCCATTCTTGTATATTGCAATGACCAAAACAAATTAAACACATATTATATTTAAAATAATAATTAAAATACAATTTAAACGTATTTAGATTTTCAATGACAGTTTATAGGTGTGCACTGTTTTATTATAATAATATACGCATGGATATAGAATTAATATTTAAACATTTGGCTTTGTTAATTCAAACTCCCAAATAATGCTGAAGTATGTAGCTCATAAAATATATTTTGTTACTTTACGAAAAGTATTTAATCCGATTATGATATGAACAGTATATTTCATTAAACATAATATTAATTCAAAGTTTCTGGTTATACAGTACGTACTTATCTATTAGATTTATCTATTGTCAAATATATTTTGGAAAACTTTGGTTTGTACCTACTTAATTAAAACTAATTTAGTTAACAGATACCTATAATTTATTTACGGTAAAATTGTACTGTAGAAACGAATTTTTTTTTACAACTATTTATTAGATGGTAGTAATTTAGTTATATGTTATTAATTGGCTATAAAATAATTTAGTTTAAATTTAAATATTTTTTGACTGGACGTTTTACATTTTTAGGACAGATTGAAAAATATATTTTTTATTTTCGAAAAATGTATTCATAAAATGTGATGATATAATATTAATAGATAAATTATAATAGTTAAACCAAGTTTCTTTGAATATTTATAGGCTCTTTTGTCATTTCGAATATTATAACAATATTACACAATAAGCTATCATGTAATGGACGAATTTATAAAATATTGTTATTTTTTTTTTTCTTTAAATATAACTAAAAAAATTGATTAAGAAAACATGAGTCATTATCTATTTTAAAACCCACTTTGCGGCCATGATTAACAGGAATTTAAATTTATTGACTTAAACTTTTTGAAGATGTTAGAGTAAGTTGCTTCTTTTCCGTCATTAATTATTTTTCTCTTGAAATATTATTATTTAGATGAATTGAAAATAGTTGTACGTATATTACAAGTTATAATACAATTTATATTTAACAAAAAGAGAATTGTGAAATAATTAAGTCGTTTTAGAATATTTATTTTTTGCAAATTTAAAAATAGAGTGTTTATAAACCTAATCTGTAAAAAAAATAAATATTAAATAGTTTTTAAGTTATAATGCGTTATATAGTGTTTTTAATATATACTTCAAAGTTGAAGCAAATAATAATAATGCGTTAGATAAGCGGTTCCCAACCTTTTTAATCATGTGGATCGCCAATTTTGTAAAAAAAATCTTTGAGGCCCACTAATAGCACATTTATAAACGTATGCATAAAATATATATATACTTAAGTTATTAGAAATAGAAGAATTAAAAAAAACAATTGTTTATTCAAAAAATACTTTATTCAACTTAATCACAAATTAATCAGTTTAATGTGATTTTTGATATTGCTGGTCCCTCACTAGAGAGTCAATATCTGGATTAAAACTATATAGCTTTAGTCTTTAATTATTCTCAAAATACAGTTTATTCCTATATTTGTTTAAAAAAAAAAAATTAAAATAGAAAAGTTCGTTCACACAAATAGGTATTCGAAAAGCTCGTCAAATTTCTTAGTGCAATTTTAATGTAACCCGCATATATTTCACACCGTATAGGTACGATTAAATACGATAAAAATGACAAATAACTGGTACCTATTGGCTATTAATAATAAACGAATTGCATTCAAGTGTTTGATAACGTTAATTGTATAAAAAATATATACGTTAGTGATGTTGAAATTATAATATATGGTTTATGACCCAGTACTATGTTGTTCGCAGCTCGTGGGTTGGAAACTGTTGCATTAAAAGTTATAAGGATACTATTAAAAAATATACTACTGGCCAAAAAGTAAATTTTATTGTCAAAATTTTAAACATACCTACAAAATATTTAAATGTATTTATCGATGAAAATGTATAATACACTGTACTTTGAGAATGACACGATATATTATATACTTAATTTTTATTTAAGTTTTTAAATGAAAATTTTCTACAGGCGGGTCTTTAAACATGCAAAGTATTTATTTAATTATTTTATTTTTCGTTTATTAACATCGAGATAAACCTTAATTTGACATTTGAAAATTTTCTTTTATTTATTTAATAATAATGTTTTAAACATATTTACGTATTTTTACAACTAAAATAGAAAAATATATAAAAACGAAATAAGTTTAAAACTGTAAAAGTATAATTTTATTATCTTAACTTATTATGACGTCGCCTTATTAGAATTATACAAAAAAATAAAATATTTTTATACATATTTGGATATATGTATCAACTCAAAATTTATTTAATTATTTTTATTAAACGTTCTTAGATATTTTTAGTGATAAAAATGTTAATATTCTAGTACATTAAAAACTTAATTACTAAACATAGGTACTTAAGTATTTTTAAAAGTTTTAATAACGTGTAATAAATTAAAAGTTTCTTAATATTATAAATTTTTAGAGCTTATTAAATTAGATATCAATACAAAAAAGTTTCGTATAAATGATAAAAAAAAAGTTAAATTTGATTTTTGTTGAAACAAAAATGATTAATAATATGTTAAGTTAAAAGTAATGAAAAATAAATATTACTTAAAACAATAAAAATATTCTAACGTTATTAAAAAAAAAAAGTGCTTCGTTTTGAAAATTGAACAAAACAATTTTATGCTAAGTAACATGTAACATTTATCACATGATATATATTCCTAAAAGTTTGTTTTTAAATTTATTATTGGTGGTATGCATTTCAACTATATTATTTTAAGTTTAATTTCTGAATGTGACACGTGCTACCTTTTTGACAATATTAGTATTATGACTAGATTTTAGAAGTTGTAGTAGTTGCATATTATTGTTTTATATGCTCTTAATTTAAAGCATTATTAGCATTAATGCATTATATCATATAAACTAGAAATATGAGTTCTATAATAATGAATTTAAAATATATTTTTCATATTTCGTCAATTTTAGAGAAAAATGCATATTTCATTAGTTATCATACGTATATTTTACATATTTTGAATTTTTTTATAACAATTTCCTTTTTTTTTAAATTAATCTATGCGAATTAAATAATACTTAATTTAAACCTAAATATCATTTAATGCAGGTATTTATTGTCATCATTGCTAACGAATATTAATTTAATGACAACCCTGCAACGTGCATTTAATATTAACCCCACTAATACTCCGAAATAATACTATCTTATTGTTGATAAATTATCGATTAAATTATTATAAAATTATTTATTGTTCATATGCTTGTAAAGTACACAATTCAATAGTATTTTTAAACTTATGTTTTAGCTTCGTAAAAGTCAAAATACTAATCAGTTTTCCACCATATTTCAAATATTACCTATTAATTTATTTTCTCTATTTCACATTTTTTTCCTATACTTTGAAAATATTTTATAAATTATGTATGACCAAAATATCTATTCATATTTTTTTTATCATTTAT